ATTCGGAGAGTGCCCTTCAGGCACGAGGTGCAGCACCCTCGAGGTTCCACTGATACTGGATCTGATCGGATCTGCTTGGTCGTCGAGTTGCTTCAGGGAGTTAGCTTGCCTGCTTGTGTCGTACAATGCTGTAACTCGTGACAGCTCAGCATCTCAAACCATAGCCACAGGCCCCAACATCTGACTTGTGCTACTCTCCAGTTCCCTCCCCATAGCGTGCCATATTTTCTGGTATTTCTACTAATTATGATCTGTAAAAACACAATATTTGGCTCATTTATCACTATTTTGATCTTATCGTCATTTGGTGACTATCGCCATCTCCGAGTCTAAATCTAGCCCGCCCGGAGCCACCTCTAGCTTCTAGCTCCCTCAGATAAACCACCCAGCTTCCTCCAACCCCAAATTTCTACCACTTACAACCCATCCATTCTCATTACCAAGTCACGTTCACGAAACACCAGCATCACCAAATCAGATACCTCCCTTATCTTACTCTGTACCTCGGTTTTGACGTCGCACCACCGCGAAGGACAGCTTGCACGTGCTTAACTCCATCCTCTTTAGCTCAAGGAAACCAAGCTCATCGACCAGCTCTTCTCCAAAGAACCTCTCTTTTTCAACTCTCATCAGCCTTCTCAGTCTCTTCCCATGTCGACCACACCGTGGGATTACATCGCCAAGCTCGTCTGCATCGGCGACTCAGGATGCGGCAAGTCCAGTCTTACCATTCGTCTCTGCGAAGGACGCTTTTCGCCTCATCACGACGTCACCATTGGCGTTGAATTCGGCTCCCGTATCGTCCCCGTCGGTCCTCCTCACTCAAAAATCGGCGCCGCCAACTCTTCAGATCCCGATAACAAAGACCAAGAAGCCGACGGTCTTCCTGAACCTCCTCGGGATGACTCCAACACACCCCAGAAGCATATGAAGCTTAGTCTTTGGGACACAGCTGGCCAGGAGACATACAAGTCTGTTACTCGATCTTACTTCCGAGGCGCAAGCGGTGCCTTGTTGGTCTTCGACCTGTCTCGAAAGCAAACCTTCCAGCATGTTACAGACTGGCTCAACGACCTACGACAGATCGCCGAGCCTGATATTGTGGTTATCCTGGTTGGTAATAAGGCAGATCTGACACAACAGGAGGACAACAAGCGCGAGGTCACACGTGAGGAGGCAGAGGAGTGGGCCAAGCGTAATGGGGTCATGGAATACGTCGAGACAAGCGCAAAGAGTGGCGAGAATGTCGAAAAGGCTTTCATGCGGGTAGCAGAGAGGATATACAACAACATCCAGGCGGGAAAGTACGATCTCAATGACAGGAGATCTGGGGTCAAGGGTGCAGGGGCTGGTGGAAACCGCCAAGTCAAGCTATCTGGAGATGCCAACAAGTCAGCGGGAGGTGGCTGTTGTTAGAGGATAACCCAGGACAATGCGAAGAGGAGGACACAAATGATCTACAGACACACGACGCATCATGATACCCAGTCAGCCAGCAAACGTCGTCATCATCGAACAAGTGTATGAAAAGCTCAATATGAATTGTACACAATAATGCATAATACAATGCTGGCCTTACCGAGGCCACCTTTATTAAGGCCGCAGCAGAGATGACAATATCATAGCATTACCGAAACAAGATCCATCCGTAACTGCCTCATTCCGTTGATCCTGTTTCGTCTTTTCTTCCTTCGTCCCTTGCTTTGGTTTCCCAACAAATCCTGCGACCCGTCTTTTACATGAGTTCCCCAATTCTATATCCTTGCAGCACGTTTTCGAAATCGAATAACACAAACACGTCTGCATGGCGGTGCATGAGACAGCTCATCTAGATCACTGTGTGATCGAGAATAAAGAGATTGCTCAAAACATTGATTAACCCCTTAATCGGTGACTCGCCAGTTGTCGAACCACTTCATGTACTTGTACTGCTTGTGGTTGCCAGTCATGCCCCAGCAAATCGGGATGAAATAAATGTAAAGGCCGATAATGACGGTGTAGAGAATGCCATACACAATGGTCTGGATGGTCTTGTTGCGGTTGCGAGTGAACCAGTCGACAAGGAAGCCAAAGTTGAGAATGGCAAAGTAGAGAGCCGGGTAGTAGTGATGCACGTAAGTAACACGGGCCATAATAACAAAAGGAAGATAGTGGAGGAACCAGCCGGCAAGAGGGTACAGTGCCGCATAGTGAATGTGGTCAATCTCGTTCTCGCTGAGATCGTTGACACCTCGTTGCCATCGAAGGATGTACCAGACAATGACAAGGCCAGCAATTCCAAGAGAAGCAGTAGAGCCCCAGTAGATGAGAGGGTTACCGAGGAGGAAGTACTTGACGATATCATCACCCCAACCGCACATACGGAGACCGACGTGAAGGAAAGGCCACTGCCACCACTTAGAAGCAAGGTCATCCTGCTTATCAGGGTCGGGGACCAGAGCGTTGTTGGAAGTCATCATAGCGACGTTCAGGTGGACGAAGTCATGGAAGAAGGGGGACTTGTAAACACCAGCCTCGGCGGGAGGGACTATTGAAAATTAGCATGAGCAAGTCTACATCGTTTTCTTCAAAACTTACGCTTGTCGTTCCAGTGAGCCTCAACGTTCCAGTGGGTGTAAGTGTCACGGGGGTTGTTCTCCTTGGTGCAAGTAACCTCAATCTGCTTGAAACCCCACTGAGGAAGGTTGACGTTGCCAGCTCGGAGGTAGCAGCCAAGGACCTCGTGCTTGAGACGGAAAGCAGTGGTAAGAGTCCTGATCTTGCTGCGGTCGCGAGAAGCAGAATCACGAACAACCTCTACCTTCCAGTGGTCCTTGTCGTCACCAACAGTCAAGTTACCGTAGCTGGAAACTTCCTTGTGGCCTCGGGTGACAGGGGCAGCGATGTCGTGAGAGTGCAGGTTGCGGCCAGTCTGAGCGTGGATAAGTCGAATGACGGAGTTGTCACCAATGAATCGGAGATCACCCTCAGGGTTGTAGTCCTCCTCTCGGCGGTTGGGGTAAAAGAACCAGTCGTTGTTAGTGTCCTTGTGGTGGTAGCAAGTAACCTGCTGCTGCTTGGAACCCTCGGGGTAAGTCTGAACGTGAGAGTGAAGAAGACCACCACCGTAACCCATGTTCTTGATAGTAGCGCGAGAACCAATTGCAATCTCGAGAGGGCTGTCCTTTCCAACCTGGGTACCCTTGAGGTTAGCCTGGAAGAGGGAGCTCATCTGAGCATCACCAGGGCCGGAGCGGTCGAGAATGGCGAAGTGCAGGGCGAAAGAGAGGAGGTAGATCAGGAAAGGGATGACGATGAGGCCAACAACACGGGTGATGACGTGGGCACCAAGAGTGGTCTATGGACCATTAGTCAAGAACAGATATCAGTCATGATACTACTTACAACAGGCATCTTGGTGTCACCGAACTTTCGCCAGAGGTCCTCAACGGTGTAAAGACCGACGAGAGCAGTAACGAAAAGACCAACAAGCTTGACACTGCAGACACAGCCAATGCTGAGGCCAGTCAGGAACAGCCAGAAGAACCACTCAGGCTCGAAGCTGTTGTGTCGCTGGTTGTGGAACTTGGACCAGCAGAAGACGGTGGCAACAGTACCGCATAGCAGCATAGAGTCGAGCAGGATGAAACGGCTGATAGTGGTGTAGGAGTTCTCGCAAAGAACCATCAGAGTAACGAGCCACACAGCAGGACGTCGAAGCTTGAGCTCACGAGCAGTGTAGTAAGCAAGAGGAATGCAGAAGATACCGAAAGCCGCATTGAAGATACGCATGATGGTGTAGTTGACTTCCTCGGGGTACTTTTCGCCTGACTTGAACTCGAATGTTCCGTTGTAGCCAGCCAGGACTCCAGAGAGACCAACGAGCATCTTGCCGAGGGGAGGGTGGACATCGAAGTAGTATTCATGCTTGATATAGTAGGAACCGAACTTGCCGAAGCTATCGAAGCGTTAGAAAAGGTTCGCGGGACGGTGAAAGTCAATTCGACATACTGAGCTTCATCCCAGGTAACGATATTGCTGATACCAATCTTGTAAAGTCGAGTGAAGATAGCCAGAAGAGTAAAGATCAGCGGGGCAATGACAACCTCCCACTGGTCGAGTGTTTGGAGCAATGAGGACTCCTGAGATGTGGTCAGTATTGTTCAATGGCACTTCTTCCATACACAGGTGCAGTACCTTCTTGACAAGCTTTTTGTTGTCCTCAGGCTGAGGAGTCGGGGGTTGCAGGTTAGCTTGTCCAGCGACAGGACGCTGTCTGAGACCATCGCCCAGGTCAGCGCCTGAGGCGACGGCAGCCTTGTCGGCAGCCATGATTATTCAATCGTATAGATATCGGTTCGAAGTAGAAGTCGCGATGTTTGTAGAATGGATGTTTGATGGGGGCCAAAGGGGGTTGATGTTGGCGAAGTAAGCTCGACAGGAGGGAGAAGGGGAAAAAAGATTGGACGAGCTGTCGAGACTCAAGGGAACCTGGAAGGGAGGAACACCAGCTTCAACGAAGGAGCCGTTTCTAAAATCCTGTGATCATAGAAGAGAACACAGGTCAGAAGGGGAAAAAGAAGAAGAACCAGGAGAGGAAAAAGAGATATGGAAGAAAAAAAGAGAATTGGAGATGCCCGAGTCCAAAGAAACGAAACTGAACTGGCCCGGCTTGTGGTGGTTCTAAGAATATTACACGACAGTCCCGGCGCAGGCTGAATCTCTTCTGTCCCCTGAAATGCCACATATGCTCTACGGGCGAGTCGTCACGCTAACAGCTGCTCCCGTACGGCTCCCCTAGGCGTGAGCTCCCGACCAGTCGATACTACCCCCACCTCAGCCTAGTCCAGCCCTCCAGCTCCCATGTCCGTTTTCGATAGCGCGTTGCACTGAATGTTTTAGGGGCAATCAGCTGCAGGGATCCAGGGATGAAATTCAAAAAAGTGGCGCCGTTCTCTGTCAGTATCAGTGATTCAGCCACATGTACTTGCCAGTGAGCAAAAACGACAACAAACAATCGAGGTCGCGTGGCCCAATGGCAAGGCGTCTGACTACGAATCAGAAGATTCTGGGTTCGATCCCCAGCGTGATCAGATTCTTTTTGCTGTTTCTCGATCTGAATCTGTTTCTTAAGCTTTTTTGATTAAAGTGTTTGTTTCGAATTGACCTTCAAATCGGTAAAGTGAAACGGTCGAAGTGACTGTCAAGTACAGTGATGAATAACCAACATCTGAAAGAGGCTCTTGTCTTGATGTCAGTAGTAAGAACTAAGTAGTATGACATATTGTACTAGCATTTCCACCATTCGCTATATCAATATTATTATTATCTTATCGACGATCACATGCTTCTTCAAGTTGTTGATTCTGAATGCAGCCTCTTCAGACAATGAGACATTGATTAGCAGACAGCTGTCTCCTACTAACGACGTCCATCTCTGCGACCTACGGAAGCGAAGAGACAGAGAGACATGCAGAGCCGAAGGCGTTCAAGGACCTACGGTTCGTCATGACTGAACCCCGAATTTACTGGGCAGAAACAGTCTCTTTCTGTTTGTCTTTTGCGCTGAAACATGAAACATGAATAAGCTCAGGGTGATTGGCCTTCGAACACTATTTCAGCATTTGAGTTTCAGGGCTATAAACTATTTCAGTCTCGTACAGTATCGAGGGTTGCACTTCAAAGGGTCCAGAAAGGGTCTCCCTGGCCTGACGGCTTCAGCGGAACATACCCCGATCTCATCTGTGCCTCACTTATACAGATGGCCTAAAGCCCAGAGATTGACCGCCGAATTCAATTTGTTCCACCGTATTTTACCGTCTTTGGCACCATTGATCCTTTTCCTACGTCTCTATCGTTCAATTTCCCCACTAAATTCCCTACATATCCGAATCCTCGTCTGATCGAGGTTACGACAACATGCGGTTTGATCCGTTCCCGTAATCGGAGCGTACCTTACCGTGTATTTATGGAACTGACAAAAATGTTAGTTGGGGTTTCAACGGCTGCAAGCGAAACCGTCGATTTTAAATTGGCAAAACGACGGTATTGAAATTTGTTGCCAACAGTCAATCTATGATATCCAATGACAATTGTATAAACGCGATAGACTTGGAGGCCTGCTGTGAACCACAATCCACAGTCACAGGCTAAAAACGGCCCCTATCTTTCCCTTCTCATCACTCCAACGCTGCACTTACTGCATATTCTCCGCTTACCGTCCGCTATTCGGAAAACTCCACTGAATGTCACTGGAGAACGAAATCGCCTTATGTCATCCAACTCAGTCTAAAGTCAGAAGAACAGAGCTAGAGACGCCGTAGTCTCTGGCTTCTCCAGTCTCTCGTCATTCCGTTGTTTTGAGGCGCCTGATCCTGTGCCGTTACCGTTTCTCCTCACTACTACAGTACCATTACTATATTGCGGTTCTCTTCTACCTTGTCATATCCCCTCTTTCAGCGTCATTCTCTACCATCCCTCTCTCTCCTCCACTGTATCAGTATCGGCGCAAGTACAGTACAGTACAATACAGTGCAGTTTCCAACAACCAGCTCCTCTGTCTTATTAGTGCGCCCGTACGGTATCTTGGATCGCCGCTTAGGCCTTTCCCTCTTCCCAACTTACTTTAAGCCTCCGCTCCAACCTACCTATCAACTTGATGTCTTCCCTCGTCTCAGAGTTTCTCATCAACCCCGTCTTGCGTCAGGCTCGTCGATTTTCCGAAATCTCGCGATCTACCTTCACTGGCGATGGAGGCGACTCGACCGAACACGCTGACGCAGTGAGCGATTCCGGTCATCCTAATAGTCCTGTCTCTGCGCCTGTACCTGTACCTCTGCCAGTACCTGAGCCGGCACCGGTGCCGATCATCGAGTCTCCCCTCACCAGACCCCTCAGCGTCTCGACCCAAGAAACAAGAGTTGAAGAACCCGAACCAGTTCCAATCATGTCCCAAGAAACTCCTCCCCGCGATCATATCGGGATTGCTCTGAGCCCGCTCAGCTCTCGTCGGATTCCGGAAGATGATGGTATGCGCGAGTTGCGATCCCGGATCCATTCGATCAACGCCCAAGACATACCCCAAAATGATAAAGCGCGGTTAATCCACGATATTCTGTTGGAAGGATATAAGTCGTCCAAGACAGTACCGCTTGTGAAGAAGATCCTCGAGAGTGGTGAAGGCTTGGATGCACCTCTGTCGCAATCACCGTCGTCGCCAGTATCGAGGCCGTTGAAGTTCTGGCAGAACCAACCGGATGAGGAAATATTTATCTTGAGCGAGGAAGACAAAGCACCGACATATGTACCTGTGAAGCCGCCGAAGCGACATGGAAGTGAGACTCCAGTGGAACCTTTAGAGGTAGTACCAGAAACGGAACAACCTCTTGGATGCCAACACTATGAACGAAACGTCAAGCTCCAGTGCATCACATGTAAGAAATGGTACACCTGTCGTTTCTGTCACGATGCGAACGAGGATCACAACCTCATCCGTACAGAGACCAGGAACATGCTCTGCATGCTTTGTGCAACACCACAGAAGGCCTCGGATATGTGCATCAACTGCGGCGAGTTGTCGGCATACTATTATTGCGATATTTGTCACTTATGGGAGAACCGTCAAAGTAAACCCATTTACCACTGTAACGACTGTGGTATTTGTCGTCGAGGCATGGGCCTCGGCAGGGACTTCTTTCACTGCAAGGTGAGAATAGTCATGCCTCTATGATAATGATTGCTGACTAGCTGTAGACCTGTCGGGCATGTATCTCAACCTCGATTGAGGGCTCTCACAAGTGTATCGAGAGGTCAACAGATTGCGACTGTCCCATCTGTGGCGAATATCTCTTTACTTCACCACGGCCTGTGGTCTTTATGGCTTGCGGTCATAGTATCCATAAGAAGTGCTACGAACAGCATATGAAAGTGTCATACAAATGCCCGATCTGCAATAAGAGTCTTACAAATATGGAGAGCCAGTTCCGAAATCTGGATGTTGCCATCCAGACTCAGCCCATGCCACCGGAGTTCCGCGACACCACTGCCGTTATTCTGTGCAACGATTGCTCCGGAAAGAGTACTGTTCGATATCACTGGTTGGGTCTGAAATGCTCCATATGCCGGTCATATAATACGGTAGAACTGAATATCGTGGGAGGTGACCGCACAGGATCACAACCGCCTGCTGAAATGCAACCGATCGTGGAAACTGGACGGGATGCTTCTGGATCTGTGAGTGGAAACCGAGCACCTATCACAGTGGGAAATAGGCGCAGACATTCGTCTCACGGTGTTGAGGCTCAATACCGCGCTCCAGATAGAGTTGCACGATCAGTGTCCCCTGGCAATATGGGTTTCGACTCGATCATGGCACACCTGCCACCAGACGAAGAGTCCGAGGACGATATCCTTGGAATTTGGAGAATCCGCAACCGTGGCAACAATGCATCTGAGAATGACGAAGATTCCGAGCTGGATGATCTTAGCGACACACTTTCGGACGCTGAAGAGGAAGATGACGACGATGACGAAGAAGACGAAAACGAAATTGTTCTTATTGGACATCGATGAGCAATCACAAAACAGCATGATATAAAAATTCAAAAGGGTTGGCTGGGTTGTTTTACTGCAAGGCGTTTGGGGGGACTGCATTAACTTGGTGGGGGGGGATACCAGTTGGAGGCTACTGACGGACTATGTGTGTTCGAAGGGATGTGACTAGGTTGGTGGTTTGCATCTTGGGCGCTTATTATTCTGCGTTGATCTTGGGTTTTTGAATAAGATTCAACGGACACAAAGTAAGGTAGCATAATTGTTTGAGTATGTACCTGGGGCATGAGTACAACAAAATCTCTATTCTGGCAGAGTCTTAATTGCGCCTATTAAGTGAAAGCATTTCCCTATGAACGCCTACCGAAACAATATTTCCATAATTTCAAATTCTATTCGTGTCAAACCTCCGTAGAGAGTTCGTTCCACTCATTTCAGCGTCGTCTTGCCGCGGCTGCAGGTTGCTGGGCCTCTTGTCTGAGTTCCTTGATAACTTGCTACACGGAAAATACACATTAGACACCCTTTCAACTCGGAAACAAGTAAGTTTGGATCACATACCGCCAAAGCCTCTGGGTTCACTCCGCGCTCAATCATAGAGATGCAGATAGATAGAGTTCGGCGATCAAGGTGACAGTTCTGTGGTCTCAAGTCAGCGGTCAGGTCTTCACGCGTGCTGTTTTATGGATGAGCTATCGTACTAGGATAGTGGAGATCTCATGGAGAATATCTACGGCTTGTTGCGCAGCGGCGTGCTTGTCTGGTTCGGGCATGATGGCAGTCGATGGGTTTTTGATATGGTGTATGAGAAGAGGGAAGTGGAGGTGGAGGTTAATTGATCATGGCGGGGAGACGCGGGTCGCGGTTTGGTTTGGGCTGATATGCACATCATGACACCTAATAAACAGCAAAAAATGGTGTAAGGACATTCCAGTATTTTAAGAATGAGAAATCAACATGTCTCTAGTTCATCTCTCGATCTTCAGCACGATCCTATGAGCCATTCTAATTAGTATTTAGGAGGCTACATTTGAGAGTCCAGTTCAAAGAGAATTTAAGCATTCAGAGGTAACTCTTTTATATCAAAATAAGGAGTCATCCAAGGTATAATTATCGTTCTCTAAAAACAGCATTATCGCACATAAACGGTCGTCGCAGCATAATCCATCAATCAGCTTTTCAGGTCTTCATAGCCTCCACAAACAACTCTCTCATGCCCTTCAGCAGAACAACCAGTTCCCTCGACTCATTCAACTTATCCAGCACCTTCTCAACCTTCTCCCGCTCGATCTTGGGTCTGCAGTGCTTCACATCGTAATCGCGCGAGCTTGTAACAAGTTCGAACCAAGCCTCGCGCTCCCAGTCCTTCTCGTCAATATGTGTGTACACAAACTTGAGACGATCGTCGTGGCCAGCGCCCTCGATCTTGAGGCATAGATTGGTAATCCAGAAGTCCAACTCAGGCACGTTGAAACGAGACTGGGCTTGTTGCTGTTGAGCGTATTCGCGCTGCGCGGCAAGTCGGGCTTCGATTTCGGCTTGT